GAGAGAGAGAGAGATGTGAAGAGATTGCCCCTTTATTCAGTTTAAAAAAAGAAGAGATTGCCCTTTATTCTCCAGGCCCCCACTAGCTATACACTGGTTTTATTATTATTATTGTTATTATTATTATTATTATTTTTGTTTGGCTCTGCAAGGAAGTCTGATGTGGAAACTAAAACTTTAGCTTGTGGTAGAAAAGCAATTGGACTCAAAATAGAGAAAACAATTTCAGGCAGAAAAAAAATTTCCATCCTGGATTTTGTATCCAAACGGCGGAAATAAGCAATCTCTCTCAAAAAACCATTTCCTGATAACCTTGTTCCAGGAATTTAAAACGGCCCCGACGAGTAGAAGAATTTTCTTTTTGAGTGGAAGATTTCTCCAAGAGTGCAAGTGATTTTCTCTCTTTTATGAAAGGTTCTTTTGATGAGCCTTTTACTGGTCTGGTGCTTGCATAAGATCCTCTGAAGTGTTGTTTGTTATCACATCGGATGTGGTATAGTTTTCTTCTTGTAAAAGCACTACTCGAGGATATGATTATTCAAACTCGATACATTTCTTTTAAACCTCTTTGTGAGAGTAGTGGTCCGAGTCTTAGATAAACTGTCTGTGTTTTCCAACGACGTGTGCGTAGTTACAAAGAGTGATGCATTTTGGTTTTGATTGCTTCATATTTTTTAGTCGGTATAGATCGTTAGACATACATCATGGTAATATCGAGTTCTTTTGTATCTCATTTTCTTGGTAATTCTGATAGTTTAAAATTCAAATGAATGGATTCCTTCACTATCATATTATTTAGCTATGTTGGTTTGACTTTATGTAGATGAAGTCTCGGCCATAGTGTTGGACTTGGGATCTCATACGTGCAAAGCAGGTTATGCTGGTGAAGATGCTCCCAAGGCAGTTTTTCCATCTGTATGTATCTAATAATAGTAACAATATTGGTGTAAGCTATTTCTTGGTCATTGTTGTTTTTCTTGGTCGTTTTTTTTGTGTGGCCTTAATCTCAATATGATAGTTTATTATGTGTGCAAAAGAAGATTAAAAAAAAAAATCAGGTATGAAAGAAGATTGAAAAAAAACTAAAATTTAAGCAGTTGATTTTTGTTATGGGAAGTAGGGAGAGGCCAACTATCTCTAATGTTATCTTATTTCAACCTTGATCCGGAACATTGATGAGAACACACCAAGGCTGTTAGTCATGTGATTTGTTGCATCAGGGTCAGTATACCAATAAGGCAATGAGGATTGGCTGAAAAGATATCTAAGGGACGGCAAGTACATAGGGGACATCATCTAGCGATAGAGATAATTGACCTGGTTATACAGTTGAGGGCTGTATCATTTGGTTTGTTGCAAAATTTTAAGAGTGGTATAGTAGTAATTTGGGGTTGATTGAAGATTACATCAGTGAGTTTTGCTGGAGAAGTGGCACTAGTGCTCATGGGGACCTACTCTGGCCTTCTGTTTTTGCTTTTTTTGTTCTTCAATCCTTTTGTTGCCGTTTCCTTCTTGCAATATGATCTATTTAAGTCCGTCATTAACATTTATGAAGAATGTTGATGATATCATTGCTGCCAATTATCTTTTGTCAATGGGCTTGACAATGGAATCTTACCTTGGTTTTTCAGGTTGACTTCCCCAAGTCTTTGATTATTGTCAAAGCATTGTTGCATGATAGTATTATAAAAAAATATTGTTGCATAAATTGTATTGATACAAGCGACTTGATCTTTATTTAAGGTTGTTGGGTCCATCGAACAATCGGGGTTGGATGATGCAGTTGGGATTGAAAAGGAATCTCAATCTGTTTCTGAAGCAAAAAATGGTATCAAGACTATAGATTCTGATAAAGCTAAGACAAAGCGTAAATTGTATGTGGGTTCTCAAGCCCTTGGATATCGTCGGGACTATATGGAGGTTAGACAGATTTCTCGAAATGATTGTAATGTTTTACGATGGTTTTCTTTTTTGTTGTCGTCTGATAATTTAAAAGATTTGCCGTTCTTAACATCTTAATATTTGGTGCAGGTGCTTTCACCTATAAAAGATGGACTAGTTGTGGATTGGGACATGGTAGACAACATATGGGACCATGCCTTTCGGTAATTGATTGCTCTAAATTATTGGTGATTTTTACAAATTTGTTATTTTCCTTGTCTCTTAACTGAGGCTTATATGGTTTTCATGCTCATGGTGTTCGCTGATTTCAAATTTTGCTAGAGGTTTTGGTTGGTCATCATTTTTATGCTCATGATGTGAGAAATTAGATTTGCAATTACTACCTTAGCTAGATTTAGTCCCTGCTCCTTGAAGGGGTCTATATTATTTTATGCTGCTAATGTCTTGCATCCAGAATCAATTTATGTTAACTTTTATTTGGTTTCCAATTTGTGAAGTTCTTAATTTTCTCAAATTTAAAATAGGTTTTTTAGTTTTTTCTGTTTAGGTTCTCCCTAAGAAGTATACTTTTTCTCTGTTTTCTGTGCCAGGCAATGCCTGCTGATTGATCCTAAAGAGCATCCTATGTTACTGGCAGAACCATCTTCTAATCCTCAACAGCAAAGAGAAAGGTGATCTGATACTAATGAAATATACTTGTTGTAATTTATGTTATTTTTTGCACTTTTTATTTGCGCACATTGTGCACTAGGCATTGTACTTAAGCTATGTGCTTGCAAGACCAAAATTGGTTGACTTTTTAATGTACATATATGTATGCATAACTTTATGGTATGCCTACACAAATGAATGTTTCTCAAGCTTATATGAATATATTTATGAATTTATATCCTTTGAGATGAAAGGTGCATGGTATGTGGCACCCCATGGGGACATCCATTGTCTGTGACAATGAAGGGTGGAGATTCACCATACCAAGCAAACGTCGATCATCCATAATTATAGCTGATCTCCATTGTGCAACAAATGGTGAATTCCTTTGTGGACTGCCTGTGTGCGGTATAATCTCCTTGATTATGATTACTTTTCCACTTGTGGGTTTTAAAGCAAGACTGTAATTTTATTGTTCTTTTTAATGGAAAACTTTAAGTTTTTCATTTTTGGATTGGACCTTCAATTATGGGAAGGGGTCATTTAGATGTTCAGTGTGTTCTTTTTCTAGTGTTTTGCTCGGCCAGCATAGGCTCTATTTCCTGGGAATGTTGTGATTCTTGTTTTTTTGTATCTAGCACGTGAATATCGGAGTTTCTTGGCTGGATGAAGTGCACTCTAGTTATTGTTGTCCTTTCTGTATAGAATGCAATATGTGTTTCTTCTTGTTTGTAGCCTGGATGAATTCTGATAATTATTTTGGTGAATATTACAGGACAGCGGAGCTCATGTTTGAGAAATACAATGTTCCTGCTCTGTTTTTGGCCAAAAATGCTGTATGTTATTCCTCAGTATTCATCTTGGTTTTATAAGTTGTTATCATGCTTATTATATGTTTGTGTTACTGACTACTTGTTTTTGCTTTTCACTTGACCTTTATCTTATCATTGGATCGATGCCAGGTGCTTACATCATTTGCTTCTGGGCGTGCAACCTCATTAGTTGTAGATTGGCAAGTCTCAAAGTGCTCCTAGATTCTTATTTCTTTTCCATTCAGTGGTTGCTATCATGCTTGTAAGCATTTGCTGGTGAATTGGGTGTTAGCAGATATGTTACCTATTTATCATGTGCACTTCTTTTGACCATTTTGTGTACCATGTGATTGTGATTTTGATGCGTATTACTTTCACTTATTTACCATTTCTGGCTTTGTGGATGTTCCCTTACTATATACTATATTATCTGCATGTTGATTATGTAGAATGCATTTTTCTGGAGGCTTCTTCCTGAAGTTATTTTTCATTTAAATTAGGGTGAAGAACTTTTGTTTGCCATAGATTACATGCCCATATAGGATATACCCATTCTCATGAAAGCCAAATGCATCGACAGCCATTCACACATCTACCTTAACACACAACATGGTGAATGACTGCTGTGATATCCTTGCAAATTCAAAAAAAAAAAAAACACAAAGAAAAAAGAAGTAAATTTGAATTTTATGATAGAAGCCCATGGCTAATTATCATAGTTGTTCGAAACGCATGGGAACCCAAATCGTTTTAGGAACTACAATCACGGCTGGCTAGAAGATTCATATCTTAGGAATCGTTATCCGTACAATAGAAATCGTTGGGAACGAGATTCCTAGTTTTTAAGAATCGTGTTTCAACCGAAATAGATATAAGTTTCATCCACATATGGAATCAAAATTCCATCCTCCTTGGATTGAAATTTCCATCCCCCTAGAATCGACACTCCAAGAGTCAAGATTCATTAATATGCGGAATCGAGTTTCTGACATATGTGGAACATAAATATGTTGCTGTTTCGAATCATGATTCTAACATATTTGGAATCAAGTTTCTGAAGTATATGGATCAAAGATCCATGCCAGTTTGAGATCGAGATTTAGAATAATATGGAATATGGAATGTGTTCGAGAACCCCTACCAGGAATCGAGATTTCATTTTTATTGAGAAGGAAGCCCCAAGCACATCTTGAGGCTTATCAACTTCAGAACCTATATTGGATGTCTCTTATTAGAAGGTTTCCCAAATTTTGAAGTGATTGTGTTTGCTATTGAACTTACGGCAATTATATACAAAAGATAAGTATTTCTAAATTGTGATTTTGACTTCATTATTATAAAGACAAAATAGGATTAGGTCTACGCCATGGTTTCACTTTTAATTGTATGTGTTGTATTTACTAGTTATATTTTAAATTTAAAGTAAAGGCCGTCTAGGATGACACAAGTAAATTAATGAAACATTGCAACCCCTAGAAGCATTTGAAGGAAGATTTCTACTCCAATTTCCTTTAGGAAGTGCACAACGATCATAAATTGTATTGGTTTTTGTTTTGATACTTTGAATTTATTTATTTTTGAATCAAGATTTAATCTTCGCTGGAATCCAGATTCGATATATTTGAGAACATCTACACCCAATTAATTGGTTCAAGTTTCTAAAGATGTGTTGGATCAAGATTATGAAATTAAAGAATCGAGTTTCCTTGGTTCCAATAAATGGTTTCTAAAGATTTGTTGAATCGTGATTTTGAAATTAAGGAATTGAGTTTCTTTAGATCTGAAAAATGGTTTCGAAAGATGTGTTGAATCGAGATTCCGAAATTAAGGAATCGAGTGTCCTTGGTTCCGAAAAACGGTTTCTGTGCAGATTCCTTAATGGAAACATGGAATTGGGTTTTGGAACCGGAATCATGAGGCCGTTGGAGAGATTCCGGTAACTATGCTAATTGTGTCTAAAAAATGTGTGTGCGCATGCTCATATGCATGGATACAAACCAGATTAATCTGATTTCTTTGTTCATTGAAGGATTTGGCATTAGCCATATTGCTATATATGGTCACTGCATGTCCCCATTCAATTGTGGAGATAACATTGTCACCACACAAATTGCTTCAAAGTGTTGCATTTCACGATAGCGCTAAGTGAGTTGTATTGAAACTGACTACCATTATATGCGTATGCATTTCACAATTGGCATTGTATCTGTCTCATATGGACTAATTTTGAGGACATGATCACTGAAGGTCATGACCTTGGCCAGTCAAAAGTTCTTTTCTGAGCAAATCATGATTGATCTTCCTAGATGATTTTCTAATGTCATTTTCTGAGGTTGAAATATGTTTCTATGTGCGTTATATATTGTATATAAGAAGTACTAGTCATTCAGTAGTTCTGGATATATTATCAGGGTTTTGTCTTGTGATCCACTTCTGATTCTATTTATATAAATTGATCATAAATGAATAATTTTAGACAATTTCACTCACTTTGTTTGACAATGCATTCCCCATAGATATGTGTCCTGTTCAGATAAGATGTGGAATCTCATATTTCTTTCCATCATTGTGATATTTGGAGTCTTATACACACAAAGGCTTTTATTTGTGATAATTATAAGTTTTAAAATTGGTTGTCTGTTACCCTAACTAACAGAAGTTGCATTGGTTAATCAGTGGCGGAGGTTCTACTACAGTTGCTGCTGTACATGATGGCTATGTTCTTCAAAAGGTTTGTTGACTTGTTCACATCCATGCATTTGTGTTGCAGTAAAATTGAAAAACAATAAAATCAGCAAGAAACAAAGCCAAACACATGCATAATTCAAAGAAACCTAGGGTTTCTTCTCCATGCCCCAAGCTAGAGTTCAAAAGCCTAAGCTTTTATCTTTTTCAATTTCCAAAAATCATGTAGAATTATGACTCCCTTAAGGCCCCACACACCTCTTATATATTATAATTTAATGTTTCAAGTACAAAACGTGTCCAAACAAATAATACATTGACCCATATATCTTAACTTAAACTTAAAATTTGTAATGATAGTTTACCTCTGTGATCAATACTCGTGAATAGTACTTGTGAATAGTACTTATGGAGTAAATAAAAAAAATAAAAACTCTAAAAATAAAACTAAAAAACCCTAGAAGTGAACCTTAAAACTCATTTCTCTCAAAAAAATAAAATCTTAATACTAAAACTATAATATATATCCTTTAAAATTGAATAAAAATAAAAAATAAGAATATTTTTTCCCTCCATCATTCTCCCTTGGTTGGAGAAAACTCATCCTCGAGTTTTGAAGTGTCCTAAGATGAAATTCGCGTTAGTTCAGCAACATTCTTCAACTCGAATATTATAATCATGATCTCAGGACTTGGGTGTTACTACACTAATCAAAACACAATGATTGTGCATTAGAACTGAGAAACCCTTGAGGAAAGAGTCATTTTATGCCGGTGAGTATTTTTAATTGCATAAATTTGTTGAAATTACATCAATTTAGCCATGTAACCTAGTTGAATTTGCCGGACTTAGCTCTAGAACACACCATAGATGCATCTTTCAAAATTGAAGAACAAAAAAATCAGCAATAAATAAAGCCCATAATTCAAAAAAACCTAGGGTTTCTTCTCCATGCCCCAAGCTAGGGTTCCAAAAGCCTAAGTTTTTATTTTTTTTTCAATTTCTAAAAATTATGTGGAATTATGACCCCCTCAAGGTCTCACGCACCTCAAGTAGAAAAAGTGTCTGAACAAATAATATACTGACTTGTATATACTAACTTAAACTTAAATTCATAATGACAGTTTTACCCCTGTGAGCAGTTCTCGTGAACAGTACTTGAGAATAATACTTGTGCATGGTATTTATGAAGTAAATATAAACCCTAGAATCCCAAAAAAACTAAAAAAACCCTAGAATTAAACTCTAAAACTAAAACTATAATATACATATTTTAAAATCGAATAAAAATAAAAAATAAGTTTTTTTTCGCCCTCCATCAATTTGATCGCCTAAACGTTATACATAAATTCTAAGTTGGATATATCAGTTCGTTGAGTGCCTTTCTTTGGTGGTAATTACCTTTTTTCAACTTCCAAACAACATATTAGTAGCTGCTTATTTTTATTTTAGTTTTTTCTTAAGTTGTATGTTTGAGAGTGGTGGCAGGATTCAGTTTGTTAATCTGCCTTAGCATTTTATACTCTTTTGAGTTCTCTTTTTCTTTTATAGGCTGTGGCATCATCTCCTATTGGAGGGGAATTTCTAACAGATTGCATGAAGAAATGCTTGGAAAGCAAAGGCATTGTGGTGGGTCACTTTATCAGCATTTACAAATTGTTGCTTCCTTAATTTTGTCTACTGTAGAGCTATCATAATCTTTGGATTGGTGACATTGTTTTGTGTTGCAGCTAAAACCTAGATACTCTTTTAAAAGAAAGGAGATACGACCAGGAGAATTTCAGGTGGGATTTTCTGCATCAGCCATAGTCTTTAGTTAATTATGTTTTATCTTGTTATCAGTAGCAGTTTTATTTTCTTCCACCATGTTTTTATTTCATATTTTTGTTGCTTTCCTTTTGCACTGGAGTGGCTCTTTCAGTTTAGGCAAGAGTATTACAGGCCTGTGCTTTGTGCTTTGAGTGTTGTGGAGGGTAAGGGTGGTCATGTTAAACATGGATGGGGGCTACTGAGTTGGGCAATCACCACAGAACTGTGCTATATAAGGTACAGTTAAGGGTGCATCTGGTTTAGGGTTAGGCATGGACTGGGGTTAGACTTTGTGTCATTGTTTGGTGCAAAATAGAAATTCTGTAAATCTGGTTCCCATGCTTGGCCAACCTTTGGGTTTTGTAATGCATGGAATGGTGTGTGGACAAGATGCTTATGCATCCTGGATTAGAGTTGAAGGGAGATCCCCATGTTGTGTTGTTCCGCGTTTCTTGGCTTTGCTTCAGATCTGCACCTTGACCTGTCTGGCAACCATAGGCATGATTACTTATTAATACAACCTGCAAAATCATGGACCCAAACATCTAACATCTGTTTCATGGAGTTTTTTTTCAACTTGGGGAGAATATGAACTACATTTGCTGGTTACATGCCGATATGGGAGAGCTTGATTTTTATTTGAGAAGGTGCATGGTTGTGGATCTGGAGATAAATGACGCATGGGTATGAGCTACTTCTAGTTGTTTTTACTATATCATCTTGAAAACATGTGAATCCTTTCTTTTTTATCCCTCATGTCGGTGGCTTCTATGTCTTTCTCTTGGTTCAACAATATTTGAATTGATATCTGAACATTCATTTGTGCTTGCACTATTTTTTATGGGCGTCCTTTTTTCCACCTATCATGCATACTATCTACTGAGTTTACTTTGGATTGAAATAGCACAATATTTATGTCAAATTGTTATTTTTCTTGCGGGATTGCTTAATTTTGAGTAATGTCATTGAGACTGGACTGGCATTTGAATTGATGAGGGCACCGGGCTGGACCCGACCCATTCACTAGCAGTCTGATCATAAAATAGAAAAGTAAAGAAAATTGGAAAAATCATTATCATCATCATTAGAGTCTTTTCCTAATTATTTGGGGTCGGTTACATGAATCTTGGTCTGTCTTTCTACTCTATCAAGGGCAATACCCTCAATGAGGTCATAAGTCCCCATATGTTTTCTCACTACTTCCAATCATGTCCTCTTGGGCCTACAAATATAGAAAATAGAAAATAAAAAATTGAAAAATTAGAGAAATCATGGGAAATCCAGAAACATAGAAAAATAAGAAAACTTCAGAAAAATATTAGGAATGAAAATAAAATTATATCACATCGTTTGTCCATATCTCATGATGCACTCCAAAGTCTCCAATAACCCATCAAGCAATAACTATGGAAATGAACTATTAGTATTGAAGGCAAATACCTCTATTAATATTAAAGTCAAATACCTACAACATTGAACTATTATACCCAAAAAAGAGGTTAGAATGAATGCATGAGACAGCTCATTGCAAAAGCGTTAAAAAATAAAAATATATTCAGTTTTCTATTTCTCTTTCAAATTTATAACAAATAAAACAAAGAATAAATCAGATAGACTTACTTAGGGTTTGAAATTTTTGAATTGAGTGACCTGCAAGGAAAGTCGCCAGAAGTTTGCCCAAATTCTAGGGGTTTTTTGGGTTAGTGAGATTGAGAGAGAGAAAATCTGAATATATTTTCTCTCTAAGGCTATGATTGATATTCATGATTTAAATATTCAAAATTTGAAAATTTGAATAAAAGCTTTGTTAGCCTTCCATATTTCTGGATCTCATATTATCCTTATATTTTCTTTTTTTTGTGTCTGTTTACTGCCTCCTCCTAATTCAGAATTTTTCCTGAAAACCTGGACCTGACTATCCTTATCTTTCCTAGTTATTCTCATAAAGCAACTTTGCCCGAAAACTAGTGACTCCAACATCCTTATCTTTCCTGGTTATTCTTGGAAGGCAACTTTGCCCATAAACTAGTGACTCCAACATAGAAGTTGCAATTCGTTAGAAAAGCTTAGCTAGTTACAGTAAAAACTATGATTCTCGCCTGAAAAGCAGCAATTAAAGTGGAAAGGGGTGCAATTTTACCTGAAAACCTACACCACAGCTTCGTTGGAAAACTATTAATGTTCCTAGAAAAGATGCAACTTTGCCGGAAAATGTTGCACTCTTCTCTGATACTTGATTTTCGCTGGATAAAACATCAAGGCTTGCCAGAAAACACCACTATTTTCTCCAGGAAATCTTATGAAACTCAACAGAAATCAATGCAAATCGCTAGAAAACCAGTGATTCTGGTGGGAAAATGGGTAAAACTCCCCTAAAATCATTAAAATTCTTTCCTTAACAAACCTACTATCCTAGCCAATAAAATCTGCAATTCTCATCCAACAATACTGCAATTTCCTTGATAATTCCCTGCAATTGTCACAGGAAAATATCGGGTGTCGCCGGTAAATGGACAACGGTCGTCTCTGCTAGAAGTTTGAGCATGCTCTGGAGCCCAATATAAAAACCCTAACCAACGACAATAGCTTATAGGGCGCCATGGAAGCTACAGTCGAAAAAACAGAAGAAATGGGGGATGAAGCCCTAAGGCTGGTATGAAAAAGGAGCGGTGACGCACAACTTTCTCTCTCGCTCTCATTGGTTAAAGGACAGCGTAAGGCGATCAAAGGAAGGGGGTGAAAGTTCTAAGGATGGTGTGAAAGAGGAGCTCAGTGAGCTGCGAGGCACAAACTACCTCTCTCTCTGTCTCATTGGTCAAAGTAGAGTGGCAAGGCAGGCAAAAGGAAAGCAATCCATTCTGTTAGATATTAGCGCCGTCTGTGAAATCAAATCCCACAAAATTTAAGTCCGACTTGAATTACATGGGATTCAGATAATAAGAACTTATCCTAATTTTCGAGGAGAAGATTTTGGTCAATCAAACGTGATTTAGGAACTAAAAAGATCATGATTATTATAAATCTTATATCATTTGATAATATTAGGATAATAAGTAGTTACCAATCATACTCTAAGAAAATGTTTTCAAATCTTAAAACCCACTCGAATGCTTTCATTTACCAAAATGTGCCTCATTATTTCAAATGACAAAAAGAAAAAAAAAACTGCTAAAATGGCAGAAAAAACAAAAAAGACAAGGGCCCTTTTACATTCTGGATCGGGATTGCCTGGTTCACATGTTTGTGGACATTCTGGTCTTGGGGGGTCCAACCAGATTGGAATGTCCAATGGTTTCCGGTTCTGATCAGCAGGTCTGGTCTTGTCGAAACAACTTTGATTTTGATACTTTTCATTAATATTTAGTTGTGACATGACATGTTCTTCCTTTTTTAATTCCAGACTGTGGACCTTGATTTTTCTAATACAACAGAAAGCTACAAGCTGTACTGTCAGGTGCCTGATTTCTAAACAGTGTAGTCTCCTTTATTGTGAATTGACATTCTATAGGCATGTTCTGTGCCTCTTGTAACTTTCTCATTTCTCATTTCAGAGGGTAATTGCTAGCGACATTAAAGAGGCTGTATGCCGAGCACCAGACACAGCATTTGATGGTACAATTGATTCCCATGTCATGAACTAATTTGTTTTTATATATATCATTTGGAGTTTTCTTTGTTTATACCAGCAATATGGGTTGTCTCTATATCAAGGTAAGGGTAATGTTGTTTCATGTCGCTGTTTTCAAATGGATGCTAAAATAGCTTTCACGGGGGCCTAAAAAAAATTTGTCAGTGATTTCTTTGTCCAGCTTTATCCAATGCAGATCTTGTTTATGTGATCTTTGTTGGCATTTTCTGGCCTACTCTCTCTCTCCGAATTTATCCACTGCTGATCTTTTTTATGTGATCTTTGCGGGCATTTTCCGGCCGACTCTCTCTCTCTTTCTCTGGTTGTCCGACTTTATACACTGCAGATAGTTTTTGTGAACATTGTGGGCATTTTCTGGCCGAATCTGTCTGTCTTTTTGCGTGTGTATGTGCGTGTGCGTGTGCATGCGTGCGTGATGCATGATGTTTATTATTTTGTGCGAAACTAATCATCCCCTTCCGGTATACTTTTGGCCTCTCATCATTTATGATTTATTTTCACTAAGCATATTCTGGCCCTCATGAAAGCTTTTTATTGTTGTAGTTTATGTTCTGGAACTTGTCTGGATAGTTATGGTGATTATGGGAGTTCGAAATATTTGTTTTTTGCAAAGGTTGTTGAGATGGATGAGATGTTTGTCAAGATGGACTTTTGAAGATGCTAGAGGCTGTCACGCTTTAGAATTCAATTAGTAGTTCTGCAAATGGTTGTTGATGGAACATCAAATTTTGATGCCTTTTGTTGAAGCACAAATTTATATGCATAAATTGCTATGCTTCTTACAAGCACAATGAGTAGTAGTTCCTCCGATCAATAAAAAAAAATGACTACTTCCTTAAAATTGCAATTGTTTTTTATGTGAATTTCTGGATTCCTGGTAGTTCAACCAATTTTAGGACCATTAAATAAAGCTTTAATGGCGGGCAATGGCTATGAAAATGTTTCTTGATAAATTTTGGACATGCACTTGCTGTACTGGTCACTGGGTTCAGAAATCCGAATTATGTGACCTGTCCTTCAAGTTATTGTACCACTGGCTGCGAATTTTTGTCTTCTGATGGATGAAGATCGACAACAGGTAGTTGACTCTCAAGATGGTGTCAAAGCCTTTCCAATGTCTATCTCTCTATTCTTGTTAAAGGATTGTGAAAACGTTTCTTCAGTAGCTCTAGACGAAATAGACAGGGAAGCCCCCAATATCCCTTTTTATTTTCGAATGTTGCCTAGGCTTTTAATAGTATGCTTCATGGAGTATATGAGGCAAATCTAATTTTGGGGTTTTAGGTGTCTCCTAATGCTCATGTGGCCTCCCAAATAGAATTTGCGGATGACCCCCTAATGTTTTGTGATGCTACCACAATGCAAATGGAGAAATTGTGGCTATTCCTTAGATGGTTTCAGGTGTGCACAGGTCCTAGGGTGGACATTGATAAGGGGACACTTATGGGTGTTTTCGTCCTTGATCATGAACTAAAGGAGAATTGAATTGGCTGTGGGTTTGGTAGCTTGCCAAATAAGTGTTTGGTGTTACTCAGTGTTTTAAAATGCGGCCGCATCATACGGGATGCGCTCGCATCCGCATCAGAAGCAGGTGCATATACGCTTTTGACAGATGTGGCTGCATCAGGCCGCATCGTAGCCGCATCCCACTGCTACAGTATCCGCCGAATTTTTTTCTGTTTTGCCCCTTGGGGAGGGGCAAAATGGTCTTTTTGACCATCCAAATGTTAGGTAAACTGTTTGGGGGGGTATTAGGGGCCCTAAACGAAGATTTTCAGCCACTTTTGTGGCTTTTTTTGCATCAAATCGAGGTAAAAAAAAATTTAGGCGGATTTTTTTTTTCATCAAAATCTTCGATTTGGCGGTTGTTTGATACTTGGGTGTTCATTGGATGCCTTTGATTGTTAATTTGAAGATGTTAGGGTGAATTTGTGATAAAAAATTGGGGGTTTCAGAAGTCGTAAAGAAATCGAGCAGTACTTCACAGAGTCGGTAAATTTTGTTTCCTTCTTGTACAATATTACTATTATTCATATTTTTGGGGCAATGTCTTCTTCCCAATCTTCTAGTAATAAGGATCCGGCTTGGAAATATGCTAAACTAAAAAATCCCAAAGATAGAAATTGTGTGATATGCTTGCTCTGTGGAAATACTTATATGGGTGGATAAATGGATAAAAAATCTATGACAACTAATAGTTTTGAAGTTAATCATTAAACTAAAATACCTACTATCACATATATCACCTTCATATTTTTTTCTATGCATTAACTTATTTTTTAAAATTTTTTAAAATTTTTTTACATTTATTGACCGCATCATCGCGATGCACCCTCATCTGGGCTGCATTGAGCCATATCGCCGCATTGGCCCCCCACCGCATCAGGTCCGCATCCCGCATTTTAAAACACTGGTGTTACTCTTATGCTTGGGAAGTTCATAGAAACCAGTGTGAGTTGAGTTCATGGGTTGGTTTCAGAGGAACCTATGTAACATGGACACATGTGTATATGATTTATGGCATGTGTTGTCATATCAAGGGATATAATACTACACTTTAGAAACTTAAATACTTCTTGTTAATCTTTCTTGTTCAAATTTCACTATAGAAGTATTTTAATTTTACTCAAAATCCCACTTTCCCTATTATGTATTGGTGTACAAATGTACTGTGTCTGAAAGGCCAATATTGGGGTTGGTTTTTCTGACACTCTTTTCCATGTTATGACTCTATTTCTTTGAGAAAATTTGATCTATGGAAGGTAGGATTCTTATCAATGGCAATATGGATCACCCTTATCAGTCTACTTCTTTGCCATTCCAGCCGTAGTAGCAAATGACATAGAGAGATTGATGAGGAATCTTTTGTTGGATAGAACAGTAGAGAAGAGATATACCATATCGTTATGTGGGCCCAGGTTGCAAGGTGAAAAGCAAAGGTGGATTGGGGTTAAGGTTGTTGAGTACTATTGAATCAAGCCCTAATTATAAGGCGGATTGGGGTTGAGGCGGATTGGGGTTAATTGTAGTGGAGGTATTATAGTGGAGGTTTTGGTTGCAAGGAACATATGTGAAAATAACTGGTGAAGGCTATGGCAAGAAAGTGGAAGGAGGTCTTGTGGAAGAGCATACAACCACATGTAGCCTCTCTGGGGTCTAGAAAGGAATCAATAACTACTATGTGCCTGTTTTTATGAATAATATAAGGAAAACAATATTAGCAATGGCCAAAATACTTGGTTTTGGCTAGACACCTGGATTGGGACAGATCCCCTTGATTAAGTTTTGCCAGGTATATTTGCTTTGTCCATTAGGCATGAAATAATATAAGAGGTCTAGAAGGCTCAGGCCACTACACAATATGGACCCCATGTCTAAGAATGCGATCCAGGCTTTCCGAAATTTGCAACTGCTGCTCAAAACCTTCTTCCCACCCAAACTGGAGGATAGACTCCATTTAAGGACCAGATTATTATGGCGAGTTTTCAGTAAGGTTGATGCACAAAATTATTACATGGACTGACGAGTTTAACTCAGCTGAGAGCAGCATGTTGCTTATCGCATACCCTCCTATAAACCCAGGCTTTCGGTTAGTTAGCAGTACTTGGGAAGGTGCTTACTGTGGTCTGCTTTCATGAATTGACCTATCCTAAACCCAGGTGATTCTAGTTTTCTCAGTTTGACTTCTTTATATTCCAGGAGACTTGATGGCTTAGTTGTAAAAATTAATTGCTAGGTCCAATCGATAATGTTTGCTAAGCAGGGACTATTTGATATCGACTTCTTTAAGCTTGACCCTTTCCATTGGTTATTGGACTCATCATGTACCATGCAGAGAGCTTCATGAGAATTTGGCTTCTTTTCATATCCCATTGATAGTAAGGTACTTTCTTAGCATCAGCAACCACAAGTTTATACATGATCTTTCTTTTGGTAGTTTGCATGATGGTCCTTTGGGATGCATAAGAATGCCGTATCAGATTTTAATCCTAGTTCTTGTTAATATTCTTCTCCATATTCATTCTCAAAAAAAAAAAAATCCTCTCAATATTATTAGAATGCGTTTCCAATTCTTGTAAACATTCCTCTTTATATCATAAGCTTTTATGAATGGAAATCAATGATGTTTTTATTATAGATTCCAAACCATGATTATTCAATCATTCTATGATAGTTTTTGTTCTCTTCAGTAATTTCCAATCTCAGCGGCCTATGGCTGAAGAAGATTTGTATGTTGATGAGCACAGCATTAATCACACAGAATTTTGTAATAATAAATAATTTTTAGGTTGATATCTGCTCGATGCAATTCTTTTATTAGTCTAGAAAGGATAATAGGAAAGTTTGTTACCTGATTTCATATGTTGCTATTTGTAGGCTACGTCTTGTTTGTATTTGTTTTTTTCTGTTTTAGGAATGCTGAATCTTTTTTTTTAAGAATGCTGAATTTGGAAGGATACTCATTTTGCAGAAACTGCATATGCTAACATTCCGACGACATCTTATGAGCTTCCAGATGGACAGTGAGTCGTAATCTTTTTCCTTTCATCTTTTGACATGAGGTTGAATTGGCATGAAGCATATTGCGAAAGTTATGTCCTTTCTATGTCATTACCTATGGTCAGTGACTACTAATATTTTTTCTTTTGAGGCTGTTTTATCATTTGATAATAACCCAATGTTAAATTCCGTGGCTCGGGCAAGGTATTCGGGCCCTTGCCGAGCCGAGTATTTTGGGCGAGTCCGAATTGATTCTGTTGAGTCCAGCCTAGGCTAAAGGCCCAAAAGAACCCAACAAAATGGGACAAAATCCAAAAGAAGTCTTAAAAATCTTTAAAAATTGAAATAAAAAAATGGTAAAATAAAAATGGAAAAGATCGATAAAATGATGGAAAATTGATGTTAATTGCTGAAAATTTTATATAATATGAGAAAGCGATTTACTACCAAACAACATTGTATAATACAATATTGAAAACATAAATACAAAATTAAGTATATATAATTATACTTGGTTTGGTAAAAAAATAATTCAAATATATGAATTCATATTAAAAAAAATGCAATTCACCCAAAATTTTGAGGCCGATCACCGATCTTCGCACTTGGTGTGGATCAATCCCTCGAATCCTTGTCAAAACTTCCTCAAACAACCCATATCAAAAGTCCAAAACCAGATTTGATTGTCAAGTATGGATCTAGGAGATCCGAGCTCTTTGGATGAATAGTAAGTTTGAATTTGAAATATCTCAGATCCTAATTTCTTTGGTGTGTGAAGAATCCAAAAATAGGCTTAAAGATCAAATTTCTTTGAAGCTCCAAAATTCCAAATCTGATGTAATAACCAATGTATAAAAAGGTGGCCTGCTGCGGCGCCTTGAGGCAGGCAGATGCCCTGGGCTTCTTCCAACTTTTTAAACCCTGATGGTAACTGGGATGATCCTTGCTGTTTTGTTGTTTTTGTTAATGTGGATTTTCAGTTACTGCTGTATTCCTTTGTCTAAGGATTCTTTCTTAAGCTTGCATTCTTTTATTTTTGTTCATGACAGGACGATAGAAATTGGGGCTGACAGATTCAAGATTCCAGGAATTCTGTTTAATCCATCCTTAATCCATGTAGGTAATTTTTCAGCTTAGTTTTTTGGATTTAGCAATCAAATTCTATGCTTTATAGTCTCATTCTGTCATTTCATTTTGAGAAAGTTACAGGGTAGAATATAGAAAAAAAGAAAGAAATGAAAGGCGGACAGGATTTCGACTGAAACCTGTTCTGCCAACCACGCCATTCTAGTTTATTAGTGTTTATTTTTATATGCTTGAATGTCATGGTCCTCTGTGTTCTTATGATTTGTAATTGTATTGTGCATCTTATTTTCGTGCCATTTTCTTTAAATTCTGAATGAGACCCATTTTAATTTCTAAATGTAAATTCAATGGTAATACACTCAAAATTTTGGTAGTGGATTTTGGAGTCCCTGCTTTCAAATTAACATTTCTTTTAGATATCAAAAAATAGATAAGAAACTAATTAACTAATCTTATTACAATAAACAATATTGTAATTGTGTTTTGGTTGCTTGGTATGATTGTCATTGATGGGTGACATTACAAATTGAATGCACATTGTACATATAAAATTTCAACTGTATTGAATGGATCATTGATGTTTCCTTTCTTTGTTTTCATATTTTCTCTATAGACAATTCCTGGGATGGACAAATTTGACCATTCTACTCCAAGTCGCGGTCTTCCACAAATGGTAATATCCCATTTCTTCAGCAAGGGTTGTGCCACACCAGATCTAATTTCAGTATGGTTTTTGGCCACATATATCTCTGCTTTTCTTAGCAGTTAAACACTAACGGATGCTCCCAATATCTCTAGGTTATCGAAAGCATAAATAAATGTGACGTGGACATTCGCAGGGAGCTATTCAGCAGTATTTTGGTAAGAATTTTTCTTACTTTCCAGGTTTGTTTTTTGTTATTATTAATTGCTTGTATTCTTTGGATATGGTAAGCTTCAGTCAGGGTAGAATTGAGCTGGTGTGCCATGTAAAAAGTATTGGGTGTTACTTCAGTGGCATAAAGTGTCTTTCCATTACAGTCAATTGCTCTCTTTTCCTTGCTTTGTCATCTAAAATACAATTAGCCATTTTCATACGAAAGCATTTTAACCATCATTTGCATAGCTGTATTAGCATCTGAAGACCGTCGGCCATATCTTAGTCTTGTACACCTTTCTTATGTTTTTTATATTTTATGTAAGGACCTTGACATATTCAAGGGCTTAATGGTATTGGCTTTGGATTCTTTCTGATACACAAAGAAACATGTATTAGTTTGCCCCTGCCCACTTGATGTATTAATTTCAAGTAATGTTTAGCATATTTAGACTTATCGTGGATGCAACTATTGATTTTATTTAGGGCGACCTATGATTTTGACCGTACTTTTTATTTTGAACAGCTTGCTGGAGGTACAGCCTCGATGCAGCAAATGAAGGAGCGGCTTGAGAAGGACCTAATGGAGGTAAAGACATGCTGAGCAACTAATTCTTTTGTGTGTAATTCTTTTAGTTTTCTTAATTGTGAAAGGCGTGGTCCTTAATTGTCTCTACCTTGTAACCAATCTCCAATGTATTCCATTCTGTTATGTTATCAGATTGTCTTTCTAGATACCAAAGTTTATTTTAAAAATAATATTTGGTTTTTGTCATGAAACCAATTCATACATGTACGAGTAATTGCAAGACCCTATTTTGATGATTTAAGAACGTTCAGTGATTTAAAGAGCTTGTCTTATTGGCTCTCTCTCTCTCTCTCACGGATGCTCACACACACATGCATGTGTGCCCAAACTCGCATATGCACTCTCTCTCGTGCATGTTCATCGCATGGCTCTGTTAAATTTTACAGGAAGCGCCTCAAGCTGCAAGAGTAAAGGTGCTAGCAAGTGGGAATGCTACTGAAAGGAGATTCAGGTCTAGTTTCTTCTTTGCATCTCTTTCCTTCTGTTGCAATAGACCATTTGTTATTTTGTAGGGTGGGCAGGTATGAATTGCTGATGTTGGTTTGCTTGTGTTCCTGATAAAATTGCAGTGTGTGGATTGGAGGGAGTATTCTGGCCTCCCTTGGTTCCTTCCAGCAGATGTGGTTCTCCAAATCAGAGTGAGTCTGACTAGTACAGATCATGCATCTTCTTTCTTTTTCCAATTTTTGTTTATTCTCATTACATGATATTGTTGGGGCAGGTTCGAGGAGCATGGTGCATCATATATTCAAAGAAAATGCCCTTGAAAGTGCTTCAAAGAACTTACCTGAGGACAAGGAGCAATTATATATATTCAATCAAGCTGGAAAATCTCTTATAAGTGGTGGATACATATGCACTGTTTGCAGTTGCATATTACAAGCTATATGGTTGTTGATACTATAGGCATTTTTTAATTTTATAGTCTATGCGTTTTCGAGCTTAATTATATACAGAAATTCACGGAAAACTTCTCCATTGTATTACTTTTTTTAATTTTGAGTTCAGTCTCTAATCCAGGGGATATTGTTGTAGTGTAGTGTAGAAGATCCATCTGATTCACTTCTTTCCTTTGTTATATAAGTGAAGCGTGCTCCTGTTATTGCATTGCTTAGTTGTGGATTTTAATCATTTGGTTCATTAACATTTTGTGTAGGCATTCATTTTGGTACTAACATGCACCAGTAAGCTTGTGAAGTGTGGTATAAGACAACCTAAGAAAATGATAAATATCATTTTGAGTATCTTTCCACTTTGGAGAGGCAATGAGATTGCTGCCATTTTAGCTTTTAGGCATCTGTGATGATGGCTAGAGTTTTTCAAGTCCAAGTCATGATGGGCATTTTTTAAAGTTTTTAATAGTCTTTCAAAAGATTGGTCTTTAGGGAGTGAACACATAAATGAACAAATCAGTATATATGGCATTTGTATGTGTGTATGAGAAAATAGAACTTGGGAAAGTGGACAAGTCAGTATAATTATATTTGTGGGTGTGTGTGGTTTTAGTGAGTCATCCAACTCATCTATTTACATGCGTATTCCTTCCAAAATCTATCTAGATGGATTTTGGATCCAAAATTTTTGGGGTTGATAATCTCAATCATAGTGATTGTGAATCTAGATTTTTTTTTGTAAGATTGAAAAATGTTTTTTTAAATAATTTATAGGAAAATATCTCTGTATACCTCTATAGACCTAGAGTTTTACAAGCTTTACGGTGGCATAGATTAAAAAAATTATCTTCTAATCCTTTGGATCCAATTTACTCATTTTGACTTATCGGTTTTTACCCAAACAAAAACTGAAAGACACCCTCTATGTCTACTAAATCTCTCTCTCCCGAGACCTTATAGAGAGAGAAACAAAGATGCATAGAGAGAGGTTTAGTATATATGTATATAGAGGTGTTTTTTTAGTTTTTGTTTGGGTTAAAAACTATCAGTCAAAAGGGGTAAATTGAGTCTAGGGGGTTAGATATATATATTTTAAAAAGCCCATACAGTTAGAAAGTTTTTTAAACCCTAGGTCTATGGGGAAATGGTTACCTAAAATAGGGTGTTCAGATATATTTTTGCTAAATTTTTTTGTGCCATTTATTTTGGTTTTTGGTGTCAGAGAATGTAAAACAATAACTATGTACCTTAATGCATAAAATACTTTTCTTCTCTTATATGCTAGTGTATAGCACTGTACTTTTAACTCTCTTGAGCAGTGATATGAAAGTTTGGGATCCAAAGAAATACATTATTTTAAGAAAATAGTTCGAGTTCTTGAACATTGACATCTTACTCTCTAACAATTGGGCGGTTATTGTTCAGTTTTGAATATTTCAATTTTTTTTATGCACACAAGATATTCAATTTGAGATTATTATTGTTGTTGCATCTGTTATAGATGTTGTTTATCAGTATTATTTTTTGGAAAAAGTTTGTAAGAATGCTACCTTTTAATGTAGAACTACGGATGCCCCTCAAAAATCCATCGGAAAATGTAGTTTTAATGTTGAAATGATTGATCATCTTGACATCGAGATGTATGACTATGAAAAATAAAAAGATTTTAAGTCTCATAAGTAATGTATTTTACAATATATTATCTACACCGTCTATTTTCAAGACTTTCATATGTTTATAGATCTACTTGATTTTAACCATTTTTAAAATTTAAAATTTTATAATTAGATATAAAAATAGATTTTGAGACAATCCTAAGAACATTTTATATCAAAATTATATACCATGATAAAATTTAAAGGTACATTTTACCTCTACACTTACGGATGCAACCGTATTCAAACTGCACCCTTATTTTTATGAGGTTACTCCCTACGGTCATAGGTTATATCCTCAGATTTAGATTTGGGTTCTAAAAATTTGTAGCATTTACTTGAGGGAGCAAGTAGCAGAATGTTCTTGGAGGAGCTAGAAATCATTTCACACAATTTACACAATAAGACTGTTTAACATTCTCACAAAAAGGGTAACAATTACCTCGATTTATTAGATCTGAAATTTATTAGTTCAAGAGTTTGCATTGACCGCATTCGAAGTTCACAAAAATTTCCTTGAACACTATACACACTCTTGGCTAAAAATGTGGTATTTACTTGATGGACTAAATAGGCAGTATGTTCATGTAGGAGCTGGAAATCATTTTATGCATATAATGCATAATTGTTTATCTTTCTTATAAGAAAGTAACAATTACCACTAGTTGTCTAATGTAAAAATTGATAATTACGAGTGTACATTGACTGTGCTGAGTGATTTGTCGAAAACAGTGACCGTGCTTAATTGCTAGATTTTTACATTTGACGGCCTCTCTCTCTCTCTCTCTCTCTTATATATATGGAGTCACATCTGTACGTCCATACGCCCATACATGAATGGCTCAGAATGAATCTGGGCCATATTGTGATCGATTCTCACAGATTTTTGATAGTGTTTGAATTTTAATTTTTTTTTTCTACAAATCTAAATCGCTTGAAATTTTAGGCGTGTGTTCTTTTCATCGAGATGTACCTAATAAAAATATAAAAAAGATAATTTACAAAAACAAATTGATCAAAATACCCCTCCCGAAATTTTTAGGAGGTATTTTGGTCAATTTATTTCATGTAGTTTTTTTTTGATATTTTTTCATAGATTCGCTTAATTTTGAAGAACACACACCTAAAATTTCAAGTGATTTGGATTTGTACAAAAAACATTAAAATTCAAACATTATCGACCATCCGTGATCGTTAGATCGACCCATATTCAATCTGGGCCATTGGGCTCATGTAGTCTTATGAGCTCATTGGCTCACAGAAGCATTTTCCTATATATACCCCTTCTTTTGCAAGACTTAAGAAGGTATCTCATGGCCCCATTTGAATTATTACAGCGTTCTCTACCATAGAATTCGGCCTTTGGGGTCAACCCCGCGGCTTCTGTGAGGAAGGCGGCGCAAAGGAGGCTCGAGGGCTTGTTAAGGAAGGCGGCAAGGGCCGACTTTGGGGGGAAAACGAAAGGCGTTTTCTGGTCCCCCCTTCGCCGGGGGGTGCTTGTGGGGGGGGTGTGCCACGACGAAACAAGGGAATGATAGGCCGCTTTGCGTTGGATGCTCTTTACCCAAAATGCGTTGAAGCTTGCTTCTTCTCCAGAGTTTTCTTGGTCATCAATACGACCTGTCCTTAATAGAACCGATCTGATTCTCTGAACAATCGGAATCTCGTGCTTCTGTCGGATCCTCCCTATCTCCTGATCGAGCTTGTGTGGGTAGATGTTGCCTGGTAGGGCCAATAGTAGTACACTGTGTGGGACGGAGTAAGGGCCCTTCTCACCTCCTACGAGTCGTCCGGAATTAATAATCGATTTAAGATAAAAACAATGACATATGGTGTCTTCTCGAGGGTAGTTACTTTTTTTCTTTAAAGAGGTCATCCAAGAAAAGAATATATACTCGAACTTATTTGCTTTAGATAATGTCAACCTATTAGTACAAAATGGGAAACCATTTTGTTGTGTAAGCGTGAGGCTTACACAACGGGCGACAAACTTTCTATGTCGACCCCCACCGCATTAGAAAAGGTCCTCACTT